TATATTTGGTCTCTAAACCCAGGTAAAAGGAAAAATAAATAAATTTATTCATTCATCCATTCATAGAAGCATTCATTCATACATGCATACATTTATGCATCCCCCCAATGCCTAAATCAGGCTATTTGTAAGAATGTCAAAGAAACAGCAATGATCCTGTACTGAAGGTCTTCTCAGAACAGGTATCCACCTGACCTTGCCAGAGGAATTCTCCATTCACCTGGAGAAGCACCAGCTGTCTCTCAGGATATAGAAAGACCTGAGAAATATGAGACATCTCCCATTCCTGTAAGCCTGGCCTGCCCCCTGTCATCTTTTAAGATGCACCTCTGTAATTTAAAATAGGCAGAGAGCCCTAGCTGGTTTAGCTCAGTGGATAGAGCATCAGCCTGTGGATTGAAGGGTCCTGGGTTCGATACCAGTCAAGGGCACATGCCCGGGTTGTGGGCTCCATCCCCAGTGGGGGAGTAGGGTGCAGGAGGCAGCCGATAAATAATTCTCTCTCATCATTGATGTTTTTTATCTCTCTTTCCCTTTCCCTTCCTCTCTGAAATCAATAAAAATATATCTTAAAAAAGTAAAAAACAAAAGGGGCAGAGATTGCTAAGTGGCTAAAAATATCCACAGAGGCCCAAGGCCACTCAGTAGACAAGAGAATTTCATACTACTTCTCAGGAATTTTATCAATTACTGCTGCTGCTCTACCTCCTGTAACTCTCCCCCTAATATAACACTGCCCTGATCTATTCCATCTTCTCTGTTTCTTTTGTAGTCACTAACCCTCCTGTTTCCCCTGGTGACCACTCTAACCCATGTCTGCCCATGTCACGCCAGCCCACCCCATGCCACATCTCAACTGAACCAAGCTGCTCGATGAATAAAGCACAACAACAAAATAACAACCATTTATTTAAGAAAAAACATGTACCAGGAACCATACTAAGTATTCTTTATACCTTATCTCATTTAAGTCTTCACAAAAGCCTATAAAGAAATCTCCATTGTGTCAATGAAGAAAGTAAGAGTCAAAGACATTATTAAGTAACGTGCCCAAGATCAAACAGCTTGAAAGTGGCAGATCCATCAGGAGATCTGTTAGAGATCCATCCAATAAGAACAACCATAAAAACATAAAATAGATATAGTTTGCATCAGGGTTTCTCACATGTGGATGCTGTGCACATTGTTTTAAAAAGATGATAATTTTGCAAAGATGGTAGTTAGAAAATTAATGCAGGTTTTTACCAGGAGCAAACCAAGAACTTAGAAATAAAATTGTGCTTTAGGAATTAAGCTAACAAATCAACATGGGGATATGAGCAAATACAATAGGCATCTTGGATGTGGACCAGCTACCAGAGCCAGTAGGCCTTGACTGGATCCATGGGGAGGTACTAACTTATTGAATATATTTAAAGAACACGTACTTCAAGGAAAGTCATCAGTTCAAATCTTGTCTGTACCCACTAAAGCTTGAGAAGTTCAGTAAAGCTAAGCCAATAGGCCACCTGCCAGACAGGTATCTATTATGGAGATGGACATGTGGATATTGAACTATCTGTGGCTAACAGGGGACACATTACATTCATATAATTTTCTCTCACCTCCCAGAGCTTAACCACAGAAGAGAATATGGAACCAGGATAATGCCAATAACTGTTCCATTTGATAGTGGTCATCAAGTAAAAACCACTTTCATCTAGTATTTTAAATATAGTTTATGGATTTCAGAGAGGAAGAGAGAGAGAGAAACATCAATGATGAGAGAGAATCATTGATCAGCTGCCTCCTGCATGGCCCCTACTGGGGATCGAACCTGCAACCTGGGCATGTGGCCTGACCAAGAATCAAACTGTGACATCCTGGTTCGTAGGTCAATGCTAAACCTCTTAGCCAAACCAGCCAGGCAATAATAAAAGCCAATGGCCACTGACAAATTTCTGAAGCCACAAATCTTGGAATTCACCAAGGGGAACACTATTGAATGGGAGTCATCATAGGTAACAACATCCTTATCTTCTCTGAGTGACTAAAACAACTGGACACATTTGTGTGCGGATGTGTTTACCTTTTCACCATCTCTCCCTGGTTCTCCTTTGTAACCTGGTAGTCCTCGTGCTCCCTAAATTAACCACAAAATAAAAGTCTGTCAGTTATGGTTTTCTGGCTCACTAGAAATAGTATTTCTAAAATATGCATAAACAGGTCACATACTTGTATTCCTGGGGATCCTGGAACACCTGGTGATCCTGAGATTCCCTGATATCCCTAAAGAAAAGTGAAGAATAAATAATTAACATTCCAGTACATTCCCAAAGAGCAGCCCTCCATTTCAGGATTCACGCCTGTCTCAAGTTTCTCACACCTAAGACTTCACTTAGTTAAGAAATCAAAATAATAAAGTGTCAAATGCTTAATAAGGAATTCATAACGTTCAGCTTTTAGGAAAAAAAAGGTCTTAAATATCTCAAGATTAAGAAAAATACTCAGAAATGCTTCAATTAAAAGGAAGACTTTGGAATCAGAATATAAAGCCAATGTTCACAGCCTCTAAAGAAATGTACTGCACATTAGAAACATAGTCAACACATTCAGGAGAAAACACCTAGAATTAGAGGATTAAACAAATGTAATACATTTTTAAACTTCCTGAATTAATGACCATCCGAGCAAATCCCTAGAATAAATTAAACCTTGGTGAATGTTATCCTTCAGAATAAGTCTAAAACAGCCTTTGGAATGCTCATTTTAGAAAGCTGCTATGTTAACCTCAAGAATATGGCTGTAACATGTGTCCCCCACCTCCCAAGGCTGAGCTGTCTGCTGAGGCCATGGTCCACTTTCATCTCCACTTCTTACATATCCCTCCAGAAACTGGACCCTTGGTAAAACAGCGCATCTTTTTTAGACAGGGGGAAACTCTTCATTCTTCACTTAGTACATGGGGATTAAACTCCCAAACAAACTTACAGGTCCTTAACATTTATCTATCAGGGGTGGGCAAACTTTTTGACTCGAGGGCCACAATGGGTTCTTAAACTGGACCGGAGGGCCGGAAACAAAAGCATGGATGGAGTGTTTGTGTGAACTAATATAAATTCAAAGTAAACATCATTACATAAAGGGTACGGTCTTTTTTTTTCAGTTTTATCATTTCAAATGGGCCGGATCC